CATTATGGTGTTTTTCATCATTATGATGCTTTCATCATTGTGATGCTTCCATCATTGTGATGCTTCCATTATGATGTTAATGCACCAACGGTTACACCTTCTGCAATTCCACTTATTCGGGCCTAGCAACCTTCATAAACAAAATCTATGAAGAAAAAGTCCGGGGCTACCACTTAGAAAACAAAAGAATGAAGTTTTGGTACTTACGACATGGACTATTAGCAAAGACACCTCATTCGTCAACTCCCTCGACTAGAGACTTGGGGGACTCCCACCATATGCTACTACGCCTTGGTACTCAAAAGTTCGTGACTACTCAGTGACTTGGATTTTTCAAGTCTCAAACCGAGAAGTTTTCCTCACTCGGGAAATTAAGGGAACACTACCTCAAACTACATGCTTCACTCACAAAGCTTCAACAATACAGGTTTCAACAAAAGCAAAAATTCAAAGAACTTTATGAAGAAGGCTTTGGTGTATTTAACACAATATGTTGAAATGAAGCAAAGCTTATTTATTAATATTTTCGATAAGCCACAAATATGTACATATACATGAGTCAAAATAAACAAACAAAAGGGAGCCTTCACAAAGGTTGCTTAGGGGAAGTCTCAGCAGTCGGTAGAGCCCCAGAAAGAGAAAGCACCGGAGGGTGGTTATCCGGAGCCTCAGTACTTGACAAAACCCCAGAAGGAGGAGGCATTGGAGGTTCATCATTTGAAGCTTCATTACCAGGTACAGCCCCAGAGGACGAAGGCAATAAATGCCTTTGGAACAAACCCACAAACCGCTGATGATCAAGTAAAACCTTACCATTAGATTCCTTCATCTGGTCAAGCTTCCTCTTCATGTTTGTAGCATAGTCATGGGCGAGCCGGTGCAACTGCTTATTCTCATGCTTGAGCCCTCTAATCTCCTGTTTGAGACTCATCACTTCAGCAGCCAATGATTCAACTTGGCGGGTTCTAGCAAATAGGCGTTGGGCCATATTAGACACAGAACCTGCACACTGAACACTAAGAGCCAGAGAGTCCTTAACAGCCAACTCATCAGACCGTTTGGAAAGTAGTCTATTATCTTTGGGAGTGAGAAGGTTCCTGGCCACCACTGCAGCGGTCATATCATTCTTCATCACAGAATCCCCAACGGTAAGAGGACCAGTAGGGGATATGAAGGATGGGCGCCATATGTTGTCTGGAGAAGGCGTGGCTGTCTCTTCTCCAAGGTTCAAGTCAAAACGACGGTCGGAGGGTCCAGACATTTTCAAATGTGTTGAAGAAGGAAGAGGTCAGACAAATCAAGATCTTAGAAGTGCAAGAAATGAGCTTCTACTGGTAGAGATTCAAGTGTGCTGTGGAACTTAATGTCAGCCTCTATAAAAATCTGCACTCGACGGAGCTTCAGAAATCGAAGAGGCGTTTGCTTTCTCAAAAGCTGGGCTGCTCAGAGACCACGAGGGCCGATCTCAGAAATCGAAGAGGCGTTTGCTTTCTCAAAAGCTGGGCTGCTCAGAGACCACGAGGGCCGATCTCAGAAATCGAAGAGGCGTTTGCTTTCTCAAAAGCTGGGCTGCTCAGAGACCACGAGGGCCGATCTCAGAAATCGAAGAAGCACCTGCTTTTTCAGCCTCGTCAGCACCTGTCACATGCACACTCAGCTTTGCGGAAATTACGGGCAATCTGTCGAAGATTTCTGGTGAAGTAGAAAGCACGTGAATCTTACTGTTCAATCACCGCTCTCCATATGCACCATCAACTCCTCGGGTACCACATATAACTTTGTCAAAGATCTCTGACAAAGTTTAGGCACGAGAATTTCGAAGTTCCAGCTACCCTACTATTACCCATAAGGGTAAAGGAACAGCACCACTGCTTGACAACTGGAAAGTCCCTATGTGTGTCGACCTCCGGGTTTTGCGGCAAGACAGGTTGGCAAGAACGTCCAACCTTTACTCACATTCGAGAAAAGACTCCCAACATAATTACTTTCTAAAAAACCGGAGTAGCACCGCTTTCCGAATCTCGAGAGTCAGATCCTCGACGGGATTGCTTGTTCGAAAACCGAAGAGGCACAACTCTCAGAACTTCGAAAGCCAGATTTCCTTAGATAAAGCTTGTCTGTAATCTTCACACGTAACATCAGCTTTCCAGATACCACATACCACTTTTTCAAAGTGCTCTGACAAAATTAAAAACACGTGAAGCTGGCAGCTCCCACTACATTGCTGTGACCAAGAAGGGTAAAGGAATAGCATTACTACTTGTTATTGGGAAATCCCTATATACATTGACCTCCCTCCTCAACGGACAGGCAAACCTGCAAAAATGCTCAACCCTTTCTCGCATTCGAAAAGGCACCCTCAACATAACCTCTCGAAATACTCAGCTTTATTTCCCCCCGATAATACCTCAGCAAATAAGCCACACCAAGAACAAGAGTATCTCATATCATCAGGGTCGAAAGCAAGAGTATCCCATATCATGCTTTCTCCCTATCTTTGTCTTTGTCCTTGTCCACACCTGCAGGACAAGGAGAAAGAGAGCAGTCAGTCGGAACCTGAAATCAAACCTCCAATTTGGAACTGACTGCCTGGAGCCTTTGCCTGGTTGCTTACTTAGCATTGCTCTCGAGTACTCATCCTCAACTGCTGTCAAGGTCACGAATTCCACCGGCAAATACCTCATGACAGTTGATCAGATATTGGCTCTTTACACTGAAGCTGCCAAGCGTGGATGAGTCACTATGAAGGAATGTTCTGAAGGACCATTTAAATGCAAAGGTTGCACACCACTTCTGCCATGCAAAAGATTGAAGCAGAAGGTTCAACGGTGAGCTGAAACAGATCACTACAGCACGACACCTTTCCATACCACATTCATTATTATTCCGTCAACAGCAAAAGTATCCCATATCATCAAGGTCGAACGTACTCTAGATTTGATGGACTTGTTTTGACCCTCAAATTTTTGAGTCGGCCTTATACTCTGAAGGGCACCAGAAAACCCTCCAGCACAGTTCAAGAATAAGCCTGTGGAAAGTTACTTCTTCAAAAGCAAAAGTATCTCATATCATCTCTTATCCATTTGCTTCTCCTTATCCTGGCAGTTGAATGAGAGACAAGGAGAATGAGAACAATCAACCGGAAGCCGAAGTCAAACCTCTGATCCTGGGTTGCTTACTTGGAAGTTTTGACTGCTTACCTTGTCTGTCACCTCTTTCGGCAGATCTCCTAGCTCGGCGACTTGGGGGACTCCTACTATAGGGTTTGTATCACACTTGACTAAGCCCGAAACTACAACTAAGCTTCAAGTGAAATTGATACATTACCTTGTGCGTCAACATCAGCTAAATACACCATTCCCGGATGGAGGAAAAGTACTTCCAGAGAAGGGCAGATGAAGATCAGACCACACTTCGGTACTTAGAAGTTTCGTGATTACTCAAGGGATTGGATCTTGCAAGTCCCCAACCGAGGAGTTTCCCTCACTCGGGAACTTAGGGGAGCACTGTTTGTACCATACTTGACCAATCCCGAAACTACCGAGCACCGGCCAACGCTATATACTGTCAAGGACCCAGAAGAGTTCCCCTCCGACCAGGAGGCCAATCACTACTCGACACGTGTCAAGATTAGAAGCCAATCAGAGCGCAGCACGTGTCAACATCAAGAACCAATCATAACATGACACATGTCAATGTGACAAAGCTACAAGTTTTTCTATAAATAGGGGTCATTCCCCCACAATATGGCCGAATGCCATTTTGTGTTAAATCATTCACAAGAACTCACTAAATTGAGAGCTTGATCCTTTGTACTTGTGTAAGCCCTTCACTACTAATAAGAACTCCTCTACTCCGTGGACGTAGCCAATCTGGGTGAACCACGTACATCCTGTGTTTGCTTCTCTGTCTCTATTCATTTACGTACTTATCCTCACTAGTGACTGAAGCAACCAAGCAACCAAGCGAAGGTCACAAAACTTGGAGAATGAATGGATATGCTTTTAACATTTTAAGCTTAATTATAGATATCAAATGCAAGAGTGTCTCACTATTAATTTTTTTATCATCAGGTGACCAAGAGCAATCTTCATTCAAACTGAACTTTCTATCCAAATTTTCTCCAAGTACGAGCACATCAATCGAAAGGTAGAAGCACCCTTTCAAGCCTAATTTATGTATTAATAAGCTTCAACTCATGTTTACTTACTTGGTATGAGAATAAAACGAAAATTGTACAGTTAAGAAAAGGATGAGGTGCAAATAAGTCTGTATGAGATAGAAAACCTCTTTTTGGTTACTCATACGTACTTTCCTTTTTACGGTTATGCTATATCTAAACACTATCGAATCCACTCATTTTTTCATTCTTTTGCTGTTAGTATACACATGTATTGAAACAATACACATTCTTTACAAATTTAATTCGTACTAATAAACAAGAAGATATATTAACCCGCATATGAAAGTGAAATTCGACATAAGTTTTTATATACTAACGTTCAGTTTGAGTTAGACATCGATAAGAAACACAATCAGAAGGTTTTATATCAAAAGTTTTCACAAGATAATATTCACGTATAACTTCACTCTATGTCCATGTACATGTAGGGATGGCATATTATTTGTGCATGCAATTTGGCCTTTCTAGGAAAGCTTCAAGCCTTCAACCGCTTAAACTCGAAAAATAGAAGTGTAATGGTACGTCTTCCAAACTTCTGCTGCAACTGGAAGCGGCGGATAAATTTTAGTGAACTTGTACCAATCGTCATAAACCAAACAGATTGAGATTAACAAATTTCAAAGTGATTTGAACAAGTGTCGGATACATACAACTGGCGCAATGAGTCGTGATGTAAACATGCCCATGACACACAACACATGTGTCCAAGTATTGTGCACGTGTTCATCAAGGAACGTGCCACTCTGTCACGTGTCCGATGTTTGGCGCTATATACGATCATAACAGATATTGGGCACTGAGGACAATAGTTCAAGGATTTTGCAAACGGATAAGAAAAAGGTTGAGAGCATCAAATCTCATGGCGGCGACATTGACAAAGAGAGCCCTCTCCCACATCTCAAAATCTTTGCCTAAAGAGCATCCCCCTTGTATTCAATCCTGCTTATCCAGGGCTTGCTTCTCCACTTCTTATGAAAGTGTCCAAGTAAACATTTCTTTTCCCATTTTATTTGGTTTTTTTTTTTTTTTTGTATTTTTTTTTGTATATATCTTTTTTGGCATCTTGATTAATCTTATCAATGATTCGATGTCAGTCGAACCCTAGACTACCCAGTGAACATCGGATCTAAGTAAAAGAGAACAAGTTACAAGGGGAACAACCTTTTGTATTTTAATTTACCTGTACTTACGGATAGGTAACGTTAAGGAAACTAAATTTGTAACAAAATTTTGAATACTAAATGATATGGAAGTTGATGATTGGATCATTACTTGAACATTGATAAACAAGCTTATTTTTATTGGTGACACATGTTTTAGTTTGCAAATTTTGTCTCTTTAGCATTTACGTACTCTGCAAATATAAGTGTACTATATATATATATATGCTAATCTGCATCAATATTTTAGGGCGCCTACTTTTTAGGTTACGCGCTCTAGAAAGTTAAGACGTACGCCCTAAAAAAGTTTATGCATATTAGCCCATTGGTCTAATAATCCAATTTCTATCGTAAGCGGATTGTATTTATAATTAGTATGAAATGTTTCTCTGAACGTGGTCGAAATAGCTGCGCTTAATTTTTATTTTTTCTCCAATGAAATAGGACCCAAGAAATAGGCCACCAACAGAGGCAGGCAGGCATGGAGCAGCGACTGAGGGAAGAGAGGGTGATACCAGTATTGATGACATGAGTGGCGTTACAGGATTTGTGGCAGGCACAGCAAGACAAAGCGCCGCAAAAGCAACGGAGGTGGCGGAGGACCTTGTTGATATGGCAAGGGAGACGAATGTTGCATGGGATTCTGTCAAGAACACTACCCGGAAGGTCACCGACACTTTGGTTGCTGAGGCTGATGCGAACGTTGTTGATACAGCTGAGTATAGAACTATTGAAGATCACAGTAAGTTCGCAGATCAGAACGACCACCATCAGAAGGGTCACATTTGATCAGGGATGGGAATTTGGTATGAGACTTTCATATATATATATATATAGGACTTTCAATAATTATTTCCAAACTTTGTTGATTGTGCGAAACTTCCTCACAAGATCGAGGGGAAATCGTATGGTGAATGTATCTTTTCTTTTCTTGTTTCTCAGTATAGAAAAGGTATAAGAGAAGATGTATGAATTGTAATCTTGTGTGCAAGTGTACAGTCTCTTTTTATATGTTAAATGTGTGTTTAACATCAGCTTTTGACATGCATTGCGACTTTGGAAATGTATGAATTTCAAAATCCATTATCAGTTTGAATCTCCGACCAAAAATTATGACATCAACCAACCTATTTCGAGATCAAACATGAGGTCGATTAGTCTACGGCCTGCACAATATGATTCACCACATGGAGAATATAGTTGGAAGTATAGAAGTGTAAACAGTCAGCTTGATTGTGACCACTGGTAGGGTGAAAATTATAGCCTCTCCTCGCCGGAAGGGGGAAGCGGGTGGATAGATGTGGCTTGCCACTAAGGTTATGTAAGTTATTATGGTGTGATTCACTTCCCCATGCGTCTATGTGTTATTTATTAAGTTTAATTTACGAACATAAACGTGGGTTGTTGGCCCAAGACGAATAATTAGGTAAGACTTTTTCGTATGATTTATTACCGTCCAGTTTAATGAAATTACTGCTTGTGCATTATATGTCATTTTATATTATGGTCTAGGAGATTTCTCTCCACTTGTAAGTGTGATGTTTTAAGTTCGATCTTCGTAGATATCAAATTAGGGCCAACTTTCCCTCCTTTTAAAGTAAATATATTGTTGGAATTCAAGAAAATATCTTGCATATTATGTGAAGATAATGTTGTTATTTACTTTTTCAAATTGCATGTCACGCATGGTATAGAGAGATGGGAAATGCAATGAGGTTCAACAACCAACAGCAAAAATGGTGTTATTTTCATAGACGCCAAATGAATTAAGATACATTTTTTTGCAATTATTTTTTGTTGGATCATGTTTTGCAATTTTGATATGCTACTATATATATATATATATATATAGATATATATATATATAGATATATATATTGTTGTTGTATATATCAAATTCATGTTCATAATTTTGTGGCTTTTATATATTAATATTATCCAAATTAGGGGAGTTATTTCCCTTCCCTGAATATTTTTGATGGTCCAAACTTTCTTCTCATTACTGTACCCATAATTTTAATAGAATCACAAAAAGAGGTCAAAGTTTGAGCCTATTATAGTATGAGGTGTGGGAATCCAATGCTTAGTCTATTTCTTGGCCATTAAAGGGTCTAAAAAAAGGCTCAGGATCGAGGAAGATGATGAAAAAAAGAGGAGGCGATAGAAAAGCAGTTCGAGTGAAAGAGTCAATCCTTCAGTTTTAGTGAGTGCGGGAAAGGGACTGAATATACATCATGAAGTTTATCATGGTGCGAAGAATTACGCATATATATGCACACGATGTGCTTTACATGTGAAGCCAAAACCTTGGGACCAGCCGAATCAAGATTGGTTGACCTCCATTTTCATCAACCTTCATTTTCTTCACAGATTGGAAAGGCTCCTTTCCAGCCTGAAAACATTCGAAGTTTTCGCAAATTTGAACTGCATGTTTTCTTCATATACTTGCACGAGTTACTATATGTTTTTGCCGATTGGAAGGAGAAAGAGATTCGAACTTGAAATTTATTCAAATATTACGAAGAATAGTAATGTTACGAAACTAAGAGCCAGTAGGTTCATTTTTTAGTTTTAGATGAGTAAGACACATAACACGAATACTTAATTTTGTGGTGTCATATCACGGGGAGTTAGAAATGGGGCTTGGTTGGGTTAGAAGTAATGTTCGGGGTTCAAGGTCGAAATCTGAATCTCATTCCTCGGGTTTAAGGTCTAGGTTCCAAAGTTTTGGATCAATTAGGGCTCTAGGTTAAACGTTGAACTTGAGGTTTCAAGTCTAGGGTTTGAATCCAAAATAAGAAGAAAGTACGCATGTTACCGATTGTATATAACTTTGTGTTTATCTCTTTCATCACATGATTGATCAATCATGTGGTACTCTAGTCTTGTATGCCATCATCAGATATTTTAGTCTTATTTTGAATTTGTTTGGTTTAACCACTCGATGAAGAATGATGATAAATGCCTCATGCTTAGAGGTTCATGATAAAGAGAGGAATCCAGGAACTAAAGAACACCGGGACCAAGACCCAACTCAAAGCTGAGAGTGATGGGCACAATATTGTGGCGAAAATTACTTGCTGTGTCAAATGGATTCTTACTGGCTAGAAAAGGAGAGAGGCGACGCGGAAGCCAGTGAGGTGAATGTTAGATGAAGCTAGCTTGGATCATAGTGTGCGTGGTCTGATGCTTTGATCATGTATGACAAGCGACTATAAATGGACCACAGTCACCTTAAGCCTTGTTAAGCAATTAAACGGTCTCTAAATCTAAAATAATTCTTTTAGAGGTAATTAATTTGTAGATGGTGTTTGGGTTAATATTTGAACATTGGGCTACAAATGTGTGGAAGCCCAGAAATGCCAATTAGAAGGGAGCTTGTCCGAAGCCCAAGCATCAGGCCCAGAGACAAATTGGTGCCTTCCCATTAATGTATAGGCCATGTGCCTATGATTTAAATGTCAAGTGATGGGGACTAACTCACAATCAGCCAAAAAGTACTTTTCAGTGGCAATACAAGTAAAAAACACTACCCTTCAAGTGCTTTCGGGCAAGAGTAAAGTCATCGCAGTTGGGCTAACTCACCTATAAAAGGCAGAAGAGGCCCCAGAGACAAGGACACTCAACCAATCAAACAAACAAACATGCGAACTCTGCTCTCAAGCCAGATTTGCATCTAAAAGCTGTAATCATCCCAGATCTCAGTCATTGTTAGGATATCTCCCTCACAAAAGCTATCTTTTGTCTTGTTTAGAAGCTCTGCTATCACCCCTAGTGGCGTAGTATCGATTCCATTGTGTAAACTGGTTTACCATCCATCCCTTTCTAGCATAGAAACCTCTATAAACAAAAAGAGAAGTGACTGCAAGAGGTTCAACCTTGCTAGACAAGGTGAAATCTTGCCCGAAGCTCTTTGTTTGCTTTCTGAATTTGTAGATATATTACTTAATGCATTCTCTAGTATGTATTCAAGTCATATCCGCTTGTTTTCCTACTTTAATTAAAAGTCTTATTTGTATCTAGATATGGTTAGTTTAATGGATATGCTTTCATTTAAAACCAATCAAGAACCAACAAATTACTTAAAGGATCTGGACTCCCTTCATTCGAATACAAGACTATGAACTGAAAGTCCTTGGTCACAAGGCAAGAAAAAGAACTTAATGTGGACTTAACCCATCCACGACAATCCTTTGATAACAATAAGTCCAAGTAACTAGGGGCGCAAGTAATCTACTGAACACAATCTTGTTCTACATCTGCTATACTAAGATAGCAGTGGCACGCCTAGCACTTAGTTAGTTTTGATTGTGAGCCTCAAGGCCTACACCTAAGGCTCCACAAAGGCACCTTTCAAAACTAACTTTGTCATCTTCTTGCAGCACATCAGCATGCAAGAGCCCGACTACACATCCAAAGTGCCAATCCCTTGGGCAGCTATGCTGAGTGCCGAGGAGCCATCTTCGGAGAAATCTTCGCCTGAATAGATGGTAGTAAAGATAAATTATGGTTTCAATTTAATAATATTTGTACAATCAAATGATGCCATGTTAGACTGAGAAGGACGACTTTCCTCCTTATTGGGACTGAGGGAAGTATTAGCTCCCTAAATTAATGGAATCTGCAGAATAGATTGGCAAAGCTATATATGTATCACTAATGATATTGTTGATCGTATCCTCTCACACCTAGAACCTAAACTTCTAGGTGGATTCGATAAACCCTACCTGAATATGTAATTAGTAATACATATGAAAGCTGCTATTTACAAATATTCCAACTATTAGAGCAACTTCACCGTTACTTATTACCTTGGGGATAGGAAACCCAATTCACTCCCTCTCCCTCCCCAAAACACTGCAGCCCAACTTGGGCAATTGGGGTTAAGGCGAGCTCAATGTAGAAGTCAGGTAATAATCGTCTGGCCAGTACCCTGCCTATGTGATGTAAGACTGATGTCACCATGACGTCAACCACAATTTAAATTATTAAAAAAATATTAAAAAAACTAATTAAAATATAAAAAATTATAAATTTTTTTCTATAAATACCTAACCATGTTCTTCCATTTTACAATACCTTTCAATATTTTCAAATACTTTCGACCAATCTTTTATTATAATCCAAATTTAAAAATAAAGTTTTTTTATTATAATTTTATAAAATAAACTAATATATTATTATGAATTGTCTGAGCTATTCAGTTTAGGAGTGGAAATTCACTTAGACAATTAGGGTTCACTGCAGTCAGTTACTGTTCATTTAAAGGGATTAAGTTGCCTATTGCCAAAGAGGACCTTACTACACTGGAAGTGATCTTACAAAACATGTGTCAACAAAATCGGAAACTATAAAGTCTCCGAACTATAACACAACAAAATAGAAGAAAGCAATGTTCTCAATAAAACTCTGAAATCTGCACGATGATAATCAAATGGTCACACATTGTCTTATTTCGCTAGTCCTTTGTATATAGATGATTCTCAAAAGAAAATCTAAAACTAGACTACTAATATCGTTGAACCACATAACAAGTGGCCCGAGCCATAATGTGGAAAATTTCTGGAACATGTGGGTTATGGTTACGATGAGGGATGAAGATAATGTCAAAGTTATCTTTCAAACTTAATTCGCCACCAAAATATGTGTGCAAAGAGAAGACAAAAATTACCTTTGTGGATACAATGAAAGTATGACCTTGTAGCTATTATTTGTCTCTAGTTTTACACACCCCTAAAACAAATACCAAGCACAATAGAATAACAAGAACACAAGTATTTAAGATAGAATCTACATAAAACTTTCTTTTTTGGTGCTTTAGTTTTCAACGAAATGGTGGAGAGAATTGAAAATCTAAATTACTGGAACAAGATTTCTAGATATACGAGTGAATGAAAACTTCAGTATTCACATACCTATTTTTACTTTTCACACACTTTTTTTAATTTTCGCCGTTAGATTGAATATATTGAAGAAGATCAATGAAAAAAATTAATAATTGTGTGTAAAAGATAAAAATAAGTGTGCCAAATAGCACTATTCTATAATCTAATGACATAGTATACATTTACCTCTAGAGGGAGAAGTGGATAAAAAATTACCTATTTTGCCGTGGAAGCTAATTTGGGTGAATATATACATACAGTATGCTGTAAATTCTGCATCCAATAAAGGCACAGGGTAAGGTAGAGAATGGCAGACAAAGCATTCACTATAGATTACAGATGACTGACAGTTCAAAGTAGTCAGTTGTACTGCATGCAAATTTACTCATCCAGCGTCCTACTACTACGTGAATTTGATTAAAGAATGCACTATACGTACGTACTCAATTGTAAATGAACTGTCCCTCGCAATCAATGACATTTAGGTCATCTCCAACCAAAATGGCTAACATATTCCCGTCCTAAATTTTAGTTTTACACAATAATTATTTTTATATGGACAGCTTCAGACCATAGTTATATGTCATTTCTAACTGAAGAGGCTAAACATAGCCCCTCAATAATTTGTTAGTTTTAAGTTTATACTATAAATTTATTAGTTAATTTAATTAAACTACTATTGAACATTTTCAATTCTAGATGTTGAATTTGTATTATTACAATTGAGGAGTTGGGCCCTAAAACAAGGGTTTATAAGAGAGCTACATTTGGCTAGCCTAATGCCCATTTGGCCAAATAATGACATGTGTGCTCCATAGAATTATAATATAGTCATCGGTTTGAGATAAGTTTTTTGGCAAATCAGGCCATTTTTTTGCCTTTTGAACCTTTAGTCATCTCCATTGGAGGTGACCTTAATTTCAACAATGTGAACTACCCTTACAGGCTCTTCCTATACTATTTCACTTATCTCTGCATATTATATATTGTTAATAAATCATCAAACTCATCTATACACGTTCTAATCAAGGGATACTCTTTTGTTACAAATTCACCACGTAGTGAGCTCCCATTGGACAGATGGTTCATATTTGAAACACGCGATAAACATTGATTGACGAAAGAGGCCACTGCATGAATAGGTTGCAAGAGAAAATCCCTCGGTCTGATTAACACAATGTGTTCTTATATTTCACACCGATGCAAATTAAGCTTTCAAATCCTAACCTCGTTTATGAAGATGAAGTGCTCTTTTGTTATATATTCACTGTTTCATTCAAAATTCGGCCACCTTATACGACATCGACACGCGTGTTAAAGAATGGAGCTTGTGTTTGTGGTCCTATTCCACTTTTTCTTCACCTATTAATTCCTTACACTTTCTTCACCTTCACAACTCCATCCAGTTTCCCCCTTCTTAATAATGCTCAACCATTCTCCATTTAACCAAAACCTCATTGTAAATTCTGGCACTTACACTTCCTAAACAATGGAGGGCAAGAACTTTGAAGGAAGGCAAACATGGAAAGAGAAGGCGAAGAAGGATGTCGAGGAAGTAGAGGATGACTACTCGGATGAAGAAGAGACCAGTGGTGGTGGCGGAGGGTTGATGCTGAGATTTGAAGAAAATGAGAGGCAGAAGAAAGCCGCTGCAGCTGGAAGAAGAGGATCTGGTGGCGGAGGTGGAGGTGGAGGGGGGATAGCGCAACCGTCTTGTCAAGTGGAGAGGTGTGGGGCTGATTTGGTTGATGCAAAGAGGTACTACCGCCGGCATAAGGTTTGTGAGTTTCATTCCAAGGCAGCTGTTGTGATCGTTTCCGGGATTCAACAGCGGTTTTGCCAGCAATGCAGCAGGTCTAATTGCATCCCACTTTCCCTTTCTTGCTTGCTTGCTTGCATTTTTCTGCTTCTGTATGATTTAGCACTGCTTCAGTATGATTTATGGAATAAAATTGGGTTTTATACTCTCAGAAAGCAAAAACTCCATCCATACATAATTAGGGTTTTGACTAATAATTCTCAATGGGGAATTAAACTTAGAAAAATTCTTTTCATTAGTACATATAATAATTAAGGATTTCTGTTCCATTTCAGATCATGATGTCACTTAGAACATGGGTTTACAGCTATGTAACAATTTTTGTTGAAGCAGATTATTCCTTGAGTTATGATTTTTCCTGAAAGCATCTTTCCATGTGGAGTCAAATAGAACATAACATTCTAAATCCATATATGCTGGAATATTAAAATAATTAACCACCTTTAATTGACTGGTATTGTTAATGGTGTCAAGAGGTTAATTAATTTAGTCAAATGCAGTCACTGGTCATGCTAAACCATGCAAGGCATATAACTGGTACAAGCTTTTAAAATTGGAGATGATGTAAATTATTAAGCGGCAGAATATTAATAAATGTCTGCTTAGCATAATGTGTTATCCAATCAGTGAATATTTTCATTCCTTTGCTGTCCATTAATTATACCCAAGTAACTGAACTTGCTACGGCCAATGCTATTTCTTGTGAAATTTAATTGCAGAATTTTTTGAGACCCTTAATTAATATGTTGAAGTGACTTCCGAATACCTCTTTTCTCTTCTTCAAGTCTGAAGCGTGCCCAAGGAAAAAAATCAATTGCAAAAATCATTTCTCTTAATTTAATCCTTCATAAAATAGTACTTCTACATATCACCATGTTTTAGAACTTTTCCTTATTATGGGGATGCACTTCACAGGTTCCATGAGCTAATTGAATTTGACGAAGCAAAGAGAAGCTGTCGCCGGCGTTTGGCAGGACACAATGAACGACGCCGCAAGAGCTCAGGCGAACCTTACGGAGAAGGATCGAGCCGGAGAGGGGTTGGTCACCAGTACAAAGAAAGTCAGACTGGATATCAGATCACACCCCCAGGAAACTCTTCTTCCAAGCATTGCCAGATCAGATAAGGCCAATGCATGTTGTGATCTGCCCTCTACATGCTCCCTCTCTTCTGTCATCCATGGATTTTAGAAGCTCTGCGTATGATTGTTCTAATTATGCTAAATATTGAGAATTCTGAAGGAAGTGCTATTTCTTTGTCTACCTAATTAGCTACAACCTTATGTTGGTATGCTTTGTCTCTAGGCCATTACGTATGTAGACTATGTAAGCTTCTCAAGCTAATGTGTTGTATGGTTATGTAGTTTAGACTCTTGCGTGGTCATAAGTGCTTATTATAAGCACAACAAAACTTCTACTGGAAGATCATGTGCTTCTTAGAAAAGCACTTACAAAGTATTTATGGATAAGCAAGCACCTCAAAGAGTTTTAATAAGATAATTATAAGTCGTTGGATGAAATACCAACACGTATTAGACTTTGTGTGAGATAATGTTTAAGTACGAAGCACTTATGCTCACAATACATGAGCGTATGTGCTTATAAGTGCATATCCTGGAACTGATTTACTATAAGCACAGCATAATCCTCACTAAGTTCAACTGCTTTCCGAAAAAGTATTTTGAGACTCGATAAAAAAATTCTATTAGTGCATCTAGTTATTTCTGTCAAGGCCAAACACGATTTTAGGTATCTAAACATGTACAATGTCAAGCATATGCTGACAAAAGGTTGGACCAATTAAGGCAATTATTCACCCCTGATTTATGATTAAACAAAAATAATTAAAATGTGCAACATGGTTTTTCACCATGATTGAAGTTTTGGATAGTAAGATGCTGAAAACGACTGCATATTATGGATATTACGGCCAACTACAATATGCTTCTGCTGGTCATATATTACTAGGATTAATAGTGACGTCTTATCTAAGATATTTTCCATACGAAACGACAACCTATCTTTCTGTTCATATATATTTCCCTTTTGTTAAGGTTCATCTTCCCTAGCTGTCTTTTTGTCTGCAAATATTAGCTTTTACCTTTTCTTTCGTTTTCGAACCAAAAAAAAAAAAAAAAACGCTTTTCTTTTGTTTTCTTTTGTTTGTGATGGCTTATCGATTATCTTTGTCACCATGTCAAATACTTTCTTCATGATATTTTTGAAAATTTTGATAAAAGAAAGATAAAGACTTCAATTTCCAAATTACAAGTAGGAAAATATGCCAAATTAAATATGACAGTATATTACTAATTTACCTGTAAATAATTCCTTCTAACAGTAGAAAAATAATAGAATGCAAAAGATGAAAAAAGGAATGCAAAAATCATTCCATTTAAAAATCTTCAATAAAAACTAGAATTTTTTTTAAATAAACGATATTATCTACACTAAAAAAATGAAGGAGTGGACTAAGCCTTACAATAGGCTAACAATTCAAATTCATTTTTTTGTGAAAATCGAATCTAAATCCTCTATAGAATTTTATCACTGAAAAACTACTAAACATGTAATAATCCCACACGTATAAATAAGGGATCTTTCATGTGATTCTCATGTACAGCTAATTTGGTACTAATTTATTATGACTGCAACCCATACACTCCACCTTTTATTCCAAATATAAATTAAAAAAATGAAAACTAATGAAAAAGGCTTGAAAACTTTGAGTTTTAATAATAAGGACAAAATAAAGGGTAAAGTGAATAGTACCAGGATTGACTTTTTAATGTAAAAATATGGTTTTTCGTTAAAGTGAACAATACCAGGTGCTTTTCGTTAAAATTCTTAGTAAAAAATGGACAGACAATGACAGGCACCAGGGGAACATTGAAAACATGTTTTATTTCCTGTTTATTGCCCCATCAGTGAAAAAGTTGTATTTTGATTGAAGATTTGTAAAAGATTATGTTTCCGCACATAGTCAGTTTCAGGAGGTGTTGACTCCAAGACCCTCGTTCTAGCTTTTATATGAAACCCTCTCAACTACAATGTAAAGGGTACAAGAAACTTGAAGCACACTTGAATGCCTGTTTACGAATACAACATACCTAATACATGATTAAGAAAAAGGTCAATTATATGACATAGAAATTACGCATTCACCGGAATCTTACAACTATACAGGAAATATCATCAGAACTCTTCCTATCGACGGCCTCTTCAGTAAGGCGCTTTGCTGCTGCCCGCGCATCCTTTATATGTATGATACAATCCACAACTTCTTGGTTCGTCATCACCTGACATCAAATTGCATAAACAAATTTCAAGCCCAACGCCTTGCCATTTAAGTACATGTTGCAGTAAGTAGATATAGTTGCAAAATTTAAGATAAACCAACCTTCCATAGTCCATCGCTTGCCAGGACAACGAACTCTGTGGTATCATCTATTAAATCCATTATCACATAAGGTTCAGAACTGAGATGTTTCTTCAAGCTCTTGTCGCCAAATGCTCTTGCTACCGCCAACTGCCCATCAACCCGTGGAACGTTCCCTGAATTCATCATAATCACAAAATTAAAAACTACTACAAGAAAGCATTGATGTGATGAGAATGGCAAGAACTAGAGAACCATAAATTGATAAGGCTTTATGATCAATCTCAACAATGGAAGCTATGCTCAAGCACCTAAGGTCACAACTCGCAAATCAAAAATCGAAGCTAGTATACTTAACGAGTGAACAACAAATCCCATAAAACTCAAACAACTTAAAATTTAAGTAGTATTAAAAGACAGTATATTTCTCCGGGTGGTTTCCAAGCACATTAGTTTGTCTCATCAGAAATGTTATCACCTGGAAAGTTTGATACAAAACCACCTCTGTTCTCGATATCTTCTCTTTCTGTGCTAGGCTCGTGATCAACAGATAATTGTTTAGCAACACCATTCTTGCAGATAATAGCTCGAGAATCCCCAACATTGGCTACCACCAGCTTCTGGCAGTCAATTAAAATGGCCGTAACTGCTGTTGAACCCCCTTTGCCCAAATCAACTGCTTTCTCCAGAATGTTAGCATCTGTTACACGATATGCTCTTTCAACTGCCTTCTTGGGTTCTGTCCAGAAATCAGGCTGGGGAAAAAGGAAAACAAGCACCAAAAAGTATGGAGACGTTGAAATTTGATATGTAACACAGTTTAAGTGCAAGAGCTATCAAACAACTACAAAATCAAAGCATGTAAAAAACCTAACATAATACCAAACAACTACCGCATACATTACCTCTTCTACAATATTCTTAAAGAGATTAGACTGCAAGTACTCAGGAATTTCATGGCTCAAATGACCATCAAATATTGCAAATAGTCCAAGCTCGTGGTCATCGATGTGCTTAAATTGCGCAACAACATAATCTTCCATAGGATGATGGGATTTTCCCTTTACCAAGTGGAAGCCATGTGTTATGTGATGCGACATCTTGCTCTTTCCTTTTCCAGAGTCGGGGTCTGATGGACCTAAAACTTTCTCCTGCAACAAACCAAAAAAACTCACATTTAGATTCTCAACCGGAAAAATGCAACAGATAATATCAGAATATCCAATTTTAATACGAGACCAGCAAGAGCATGCTGAAAAGTAATCACTTTAAGAAGACAAAACGAGAGAGAGAGGGGGAGGGAGAGGGAGAGAGAAAGGATACATTTTTTGAGAAGCTAGTTACAAAATAATCGAGCTTTGTTTTCTACTCTAATTGCCAGGCATTAAATAATCATCTTACCAATAAAGCATCAAACAATTATCTATATTAGTTTAACTAGTCCATCACTTCCACTCAACTTTAGCAGTTCAGACTGTTCAATGAATTCAAGCCCTGTCCCCCTCTTCCACAAATACAAATTAATCAAAGCAAGGCAATGTAAAAAGTAGATGGATTTTACTTTACTTAGTAGTTTCTATAAATGTTCTGTCTAGAATTCTCCTATTTCTTCATTGATTTCACTAAAAGCTTCTGCTGCATTTTATCTTCCCAACTGAAATGTTCTTTCAATACCCATAAACCCCAAGTAGCAGGAGGAAAAAGGAAGAGGGATTTAATAAAAAATGATAAATAAAAGGGTTTTCTTCTTCCACCATCCATAAACCCCAAGGTAGCGAGAGCAATGAGGAACGGTACAGTTACAGATCTAAAACTGCAATTTTGAAAAAAAAAAATTACACAAATAAATGCGATTTAGAGATATGGGTTTTTGTTAATAACATACATAACACAAGGATCTGAAACAATTGCTCTATATGGTTTGGATGAAAACTAAATTTGCAGATCAGAAAGACATTATGAGCAAGCCAAAAGAAGCCAATTGATGAACAGAGCGGTGAACCAATTGGAAAAATAATTGAAACCCATTAAAGCAAATACATGGAGGAGTAGAGTTACTGTAAATGTAGCAAAACATACCTTCATCTTATGGAGAATTTCTTTGCCGGTCATGGTTTTCCTGATGTGAGCCTTATCTGTTTAAAAAAAATGAAAGATGGAAAATTTGGAATTCTAACACACTGGCCAACAAAACAGAGGAAGAGAGACAAAACCCAGAGTCAAGGAGACGATGAGAGAGAGAGAGGAGAGAGAAGTGAGAAGGGTTGAGGATGAGAATGAGGAATGAGGATGATGGATGTGTTGACACGCCCTCTCTTCTCTCTCTCTCTCTGTGTTTTCCAGCCTTTCTCTTCCAATTGTATGCCGTGTTGTTCTCTGCATTACTCAATGACGCGTTCGCGCCGCTCCTTGTTTTCTTATCCCTTATTTAATAAGATTACTGTTATTCCTAGCCTAATGTGTTATCACTTCATTCATTTTTAATTAAATATATAATTATAAGTTTGTTCATTTGTAAAATAAGAAAAAAGGTACTGTCTTGATACCTTTTATAGGGACACTAGGAACCCTCACATCCTAACAATTTATCGTATATCGTGCGATCAGTTTTCGTCAGATATTATTTGTATTTAATTTTAAATAAAAAAAATTAAATGATTTCTTACCGCACGATATACGATGAAGGGCTAAGATGTAGAGATCCTTAGGATCCCCACAAAGTGGATCCGGATGGGATTCAATTCTGTAAAATAATTGATAAGGATAATAATAGTACTAGGTTAGATGCAAAAAAGTAAGGTTCTAAAAGACGTTAGGCGGTAGTCGAGCAGAATGTTGGGGTCTAGCGCTTAGACGGATTTAAGTAAATCTATTGTATTTCGTGTAAATAAGTGTTTGTTTATACTTAATATATATATAATTTCATCATAAACTAGAAAATAGAATGACATATATATTATGACGTATTGGAACATAATAAAAACATGGGAGCAAACATATAATGTGTGTTTATTTAAGTGTTTAATAAGTCTTTTACAATTTATTGGAAACAATAAAATGCAAAAGGAAAGTAATCTATTTTCTATCTAAGTGAGTTGCAACCTAGGCATGTGTCTAGGCGAGTCTGTGCGGGTGCCTTAA